GGTAACACGTGACCAGTCACGTGCCACCTGTGAGGGGCAAATGATTAGGGGATTTTTCCCCACCAATCACCATCTGACAAGTGGACCAATCAGGTTCCGCCATGTGTCCGTCACATGGGCCAATAGGAGCCTGCCATGTGTCAAGCAATGATCCGTCCACTATGGACCAATTACGACACAACACGTGTCCTTCCCATGACACCTGGGATAACCGGTCACCTAGGCCCAACTTCCGAGGGAAGCCCAATCAGCCCAAGGTTAACCTAAACCTAGATTGACACGTTTCCCGAGGTTATAAATACCTCCCTTAATCCTCATTAAGGGAGATGACACGCTAAAAACGCAGATTACACACATTAAACACTCTCACCTAGAGAGACCCAATCACTTTAATTTCCGCATTAATTACTCCTTAATAAAGTACTAACTTGACCGTCGGAGGCGGATCTCCAATCATCCGGAGCATCCGTTTGTTTTGCAGGTACATGCGTCCGGTTCCAGTCTCGGAATTGTAACTCTCCCGCAGGACATCAGAAAACCCCGAAACACTAGTGTATTTAGATTAATATTTTTGTTTGATATAATGTTTAATATAATATTTAATAAGGGTTCTTATTTATTTGCTTGTTTAGTTTAATTATGATATATCTCTGTTTAGTAAAATGCATGTGTCCTTCACTTTATATATATATAATAAATGAATCGTTTGCATAATCATATGCCTAGATACCCGTTCAAGGCATACACATTAGGAGTATGTCTTGAATAGTCCCCAGTTGGGACTGACCTTGTACGCTTATTCTCACTTAGGTGGTGAATGTAAGCCTTGTTTTTTATTCTAGGGAAAATCCTGCCCTTTCATGCATTTCTCTACCGTGTTCTCTGGGTACATATGTAGGTGTGTTTAATCGCCTACATCGTGTACTTGGAGAACTGTAGGGAAATGCTGGCGGATTTTCCATAGAATTGAAAACCTGGGTTACATTCACTAGTGAGAATAAACGTACAAGGATGGGTTAGGTTGGAGTGATAAGGACCCTTTGGAAGCATTTCAAATCTCATTTTCATTTCCATAACGCTTTGGTGGATAATGACTGCGAAGTACGGTTTATGACTAATGTGATTGTACATATGTGTGAGCTGTGTAGAAGCTGTAATCATGAAACGAAGAGAACGTAGGTGGATGTATGAAAGGATGGTTGGGCAAAGTATTAATCCAGAGTTCGTGAAAGGGATTGATGAATTCATTTAGTACGTCACAGATCATCCCGAGAGTAGTAACCCGAATGAAGTTAGGTGTCCATGTGTTAAATGTAAAAACAAACGCCTTTGGGATGTGGATACGGTTAAAATCCATCTGTATCGTAAGGGTTTCACACCTAACTACTATGAGTGGATGTGTCATGGGGAAGGGTATTCAGGAGTTCCCGAACGACGGTCCAATGAACATCGTGACATGGTTTTGATGCTTTTGGTCATAGTCAAAATCAGGGGCACTCCGAGGAGGCTAGCGTTCCATCAGAGGAGGAGCCTAATGCAACTGCTATGCATTTTTGGATTTGTTGAAGGCTTCTGAAAGGTCATTATACGAAGGGAGTTCTTTGTCCGTGTTAGAGATGGCCGCTAGAATCACTAATCTAAAATGTGAGTATAATTTGCCTCACAGATGTGTCGATGGGTTTGCTTCTTTCCTAAGTGAGGCGATTCCAAACAATAGCCATATGGCTGACACTTTCTACGAGGTGAAGAAGATTGTGAAGGGGTTGGAAATGTCCCATCAAAATATTCATGCATGCCCGAAAGGGTGTATGTTGTTTTGGAAGGATGATGCTCATTTTTCTGCATGTAGGGTGCGTGGCAGCGACCGATACAATGCAAGCAGACTTCCAAAGGTAGCCTAGTGCCTTTGCTAGTGCCTTTGAATGTTCTTTTTTATTTCCCGATCACACCCAGGTTGCAAAGACTGTTTGCAACAAAGAACATTTCGGAGGAAATGACATGGCATTCGAAAAATCCCCGAGTTCAAGGTATAATGGCACACCCTAGTGACAGTGCAGCTTGGAAACACCTCGATTGTCGGTTTCCAGAGTTTGCTCTCGAGCCTCGTAATGTGAGACTTGGCTTGTGTACAGATGGTTTTTCTCCTCATGGTAAGTTTGGGGGACAATATTCTTGTTGGTCTGTCATTTTGACCCCTTATAACTTGCCTCCCTCAATGTGCATGAAAAGACAATTCATGATCCTTTCGTTACTCGTTCCCGGTCCTAAAAACCCTAACGGCAACTTGGATGTTTACATGCAACCGTTGATAGAGGAGTTGAAACTGTTGTGGGAAGTTGGCGTGGCAACTTATGATATTTCAAAGAAACATAATTTCAATCTTCGAGCAGCCATCCTATGGACCGTTAGTGACTTCCCGGCTTATGGCATGTTGTCTGGTTGGGCCACAGCCAGCAAGAAAGCTTGTCCACATTGCATGGAGAAGAGCAAAACATTTTGACTCAAACATGGTGGTAAAGTTTCTTGGTTTGATTGCCACCGGCAATTCCTTCCGACAGATCACCCTTTTCAGAATAGTAAAACTGCATTCTGTAAAAACAAAGTAGAGAAAGGTGCCCCTCCATACATCATGTCAGGAGAGGAGCTGTGGGAATGTGTGAAGGACCTCCTGAAGGCTACAGATGGACTCAATTCAATTAAAAGGCTGAAAAATGAAAAGAAGGGGTGGTTCAAGCAAAGCACCTTGTGGGAGCTCCCATATTGGAAGCATCTTCTCATTCGTCACAACTTAGATGTCATGCACATTGAGAAGAACTTCTTCGATCAGTTAATTCACACTGTAATGGATGTGAAAAAGCATACGTGTGACACGCCATCTGCTCAGAATGACATTGCCAGATATTGTAAACGTTCCCAGCTTCATCTTCAAGAGGATGATAGAGGAAAAGAGGTCATGCCAAAGGCTCCATTCGCTCTTGACAAGGCTCAGAGAAAAGTTTTGTGTGAGTGGGTTAAGCAGTTGCGGTTCCCTGATGGTTACGCCTCCAATTTGAGCAGATGCGTAGATTTGCAAGAGTGTAAGCTCCATGGAATGAAAAGCCATGACTGTCACGTGTTCATGGAGAGGATGTTACCCACAACTTTGAGGGAATTGCTCCCTGGCCATATTTGGAATGCAATTACAGAGATCAGCCAATTCTTCTGCGACTTGTGTTGCTATACAACATCAGTTAGTGACATGGAGCAATTGGAGAAAAAACATACCTGAGATCCTCTGGAAGCTTGAGAAGATCTTCCCTCCTGCATTCTTTAACTCCATGGAGCATTTTCCAATACATTTGTCGTACGAGGGGAAGTTATGTGGTCCTGTACAATACAGATGGATGTATCCCTTCGAAAGGTAAATCCAATACCCTTATTTCACATCCTTTGTTTTACATCCTAATCACTTGTTCATACAGTTACATAACAACTGTAATTGCAGGTTCCTCAATCATTTGAAACGGAAAATTGGGAACAAGGCTCGAGTTGAAGGGTCCATATGCAATGCTTATCTCACTGAAGAGATAGCAAACTTTCTGCTCCAATTACTTTCAGTCGACAGTTGACACTAAAACTCAAGATCTTGATCGAAATGTGAATGCCGACGTTGAGTCCACATTGGACGACGCTGAAATACCAGAGTTGTTCAAAGAGGACAATGGTCGTGTGTCAAATGAGGGTAGAACTCGGTTCTTAGATGACAAAGAACTCGAGTTTGCACATTTGTTCGTGTTACGAAACACCGACATTCTTGGCGAATACGAAAGGTATATTAGGCCCAGTTATTCAGTGTATTCGTATTTACGATCATTTACAATGATGAATTTGTAGATTTACATTGTGTGTTTGGCCTCGTAGGAAATTTGAGGACTACATTCTTAGTACTCAACCTTTCCTGCGTAGAGAAGAAGCCATGGAGAATTTCGAAGCTGAATTCTCTAATTGGTTTCATCACAAGGTGATATACGCGGTGTAACCGTGAAATAATTATGTATTTTACATCTTGCATTTCAATTCATTAAATTCAGGAACCGTGATGTTGATATTCAACCACTTTATAGGTGGTCGAAGAGAAGCCAAATTCGGATGTCCTGCGAGCGTTGTGCATGCGTCCCTTCAGGCGAGTTTGTACTTGGGGCCAGATTTTTGTAGGTGGATTTAATTTCTATACAAATGCCCATGGCAAGCACAAATCCACCATGAATTATGGTGTGAGTGTATCAAGTGAGGATGGCGGAGAGTACTTCGGCATTTTAGACGACATAATTGAACTTGTCTACACGGGACCCAAGAGAATGTACAAGACAATTTTGTTTAAGTGCAATTGGATGGATTGTGGTAGGGGAATGAACATACACGAACAATACATGCTAATCGAAGTAATCATACTAAGAAATACCCCAAATATGATCCATTTGTCTTATCTTACCAAGTGGCTCAAGTGTACTACGCATCATACCCTAACCTGAAACGAGACCTAGTTCAATGGTGGTATGTATTTAAAACACAAGCAAGGTCAGTGGTTGATGCTCCGGTGGACTTAGAGTTTCTGCAATCACCATCCCCAACAGTACATGCAACTCTTTGCCCACCGAATGACATTCTAGACTACGCCAGGGATGATGATGATGAAGACGATGACGATGACGATGGCTTTGTGATCTCAAGCGATGAAGACGATGAATCTAGTATCGGCTTTAGTGATAGTGACGATGATGATGACATTGATGTAGGATTAGATGATAGTAGTGATGACTCTAGTAGTGAAAGTAGTGATGAGAGTATTGAGTAGGAGAATATGTTAATCTCCTTTAAAAGTATGCTTCTTATTGTAAAATCAAAATATTAATTAGGCTTATGTAAAACTTTTTAGTGTTTGTATAAAAGCCATATTACGTTGCACTGCACTTGTTATTTATAATATCTTGTCATTTTACTAACATCTGATTCAGGTAGTCATGGCGGGTGGAATTAGTGGGCAATCGTCAAAGAAAGTAAAGGGGAAAGAGAAAATGACCGCCCGCGCCCTTTTCAACGACGACTAGGATAAGGAGATGTTCGATTCGGAGGCACACGATTAGGGTGAGGATCAAACGGGCCCATCCACTCCTCCAGAAGATGGGCCACGGGATGAGTCACAGGACGAGTCACAAGATGAGTCACAGCTCCCGTTTTTGGACCCTACTACGCTGTGGTACGTACATATCATGATATGGATGATAAGATACAAGGCTTATAATACTATTTTCGAACTTGTTTAACATTGTTGTTTCCCGTTTGTTATAGGTTTGATGATCCTAAGGTTCGGAGTGCGGTATCCGGTACGATTACTAGATACTACCAAGCCCCTTGGAGGAACTTTGGAGAAGTTCCTGCAGCTACGAAGGAACACTGGTGGAACTTGTTCAACGTATGATATTTATGGGTCTTGGTTAATACATGTTTTAGATATTGTATTGATTTAGTTTTGTGTATAACTTCTGTATTTTATCATTTGTAGGCACAATTCAGATGGGCACCCCAGATGAACGAGCTAATGAAGCTCACATTTCGGAGGAGGGTAGCAACACTCCTGCGTGACATGTTCCACACCATCACGCACAAGATGAATGGCGCCAAGCGAAGTTGGCTGAGTGAGGAGATCCACAATGAGATGATGGACATTGTTACATCGGATCCAACTTCCAAGGAGAGGTCGGCGCAAAACAAGAAGAACAGAAGGGGCAGATCTATGGAAAATCCCGTCCGAGGGACCCACTTTCCGGGTTCGTTGTCAGCTGTCCAACATGCGAAAAGGATGGTAAGTTTATTTAAAAAGATCTTATATTAGAAGGCATTTTTGTGTATTTCAATGTAACAAGGGTGTGACATGTTTAACGTTTATTCTTATTTTTTTGTATCAAAGGTGGCGAAGAACAAGGGCCAGCTGCCAACAGCTCCTAAGCTGTTTTTGAAGACACACTTCAAGGAGCTGACTGGGAAAGGCACAGTGGCAGTAAACCCCACAGCTCAGGAAATTGCGGTAACAAATTCCCTAAACTTAGTTCATTGGTTCATTATTTATAAATATGGTACTGAAAACTTAGGGACTTGTTGTTTTTTGTGATTTCAAGGCATGAAACCCTTAAAATAACCATAATTGACATGTTTAGAGAAAGAAATAGTTCATTTGGTCGAAAATGAAGAAAATGGGCAAAGAATAGGTCATCTAGGCCATAGTTGGTTCAATTTCGCTCCAAATGCATCTTAAACCTTAGGGACTTGTTGTTTTTTGTGATTTCAAGGCATGTACGCCTTAAAATAACCATAATTTACATGTTTAGAGAAAGAAATAGTTCATTTGGTCAAAAATGAAGAAATTGGACAAAGAATAGGTCATATAGGCCATAGTTGGTTCAATTTCGCTCCAAATGAGTCCCAAACCTTAGGGACTTGTTGGTTTTTGTGATTTCAAGGCATGTACCCCTTATATTACCTATAATTGACATGTTTAGAGAAAGAAATAGTTCATTTGGTCGAAAATGAAGAAAATGGGCAAAAAATAGGTCATATAGGCAATAGTTGGTTCAATTTGGCTCCAAATGCGTCCCAAACCTTAGGGACTTGTTGTTTTTTGGGATTTCAAGGCATGTACCCCTTAAACTATGTAAATTTGACATTTTTGGATAAGAAATGAGAACATTAGCTAAGAAATATTTAGAATGGGCAACATAGACGTCACTTAGGCCATACTGGGTGCGTTTTTCATCATTAAGGCTCCCAAAACTTAATGTGTTGTTTTTTTTGGCATTTCAAGCCCTAGACACCTAAAACTATGTACATTTGACATTTTTGGATCAAAAATGAGAACATTAGCTAAGAAATAGAGAAAATGGGCAACATAGACGTCACTTAGGCCATACTTGGTGCGTTTTTCATAAATATGGCTCCCAAAACTTAATGTGTTGTTTTTTTGGCATTTCAAGCCCTAGACACCTAAAACTATGTACATTTGACATGTTTGGATCAGAACTGAGAACATTAGCTAAGAAATAGAGAAAATGGGCAACATATAAGTCACTTAGGCTATACTTGGTGCGTTTTTCATGAATATTGTACTAAAACTTTGTTACTTTGTTTTTTTTTTTGTCATTTCAAGCACTTTATACCTAAAACTATGTTTAATTGATATGGAATGAGATAAAAAAAAGAGCTCATTTCCTAAGAAATGAAGTAATTGGGCTAAGTAGAAGTCACCTATGTCATGTTACTTGGTTTATTTTTTCATGAATATGGTACCCAAAGCTTATTTATATAACTTACTAACTCGTTTGTTCCTTTTCATATGTTTATCTTGTAGGAGGCCTACCAAAAGAGGGTTGAGGAGGCTAGCACTCAAAGGACTCAGAAGAGTCCGAATGAGCTGTATTGGGAGACAGTGGGTGGTCGGAACAAAAAAGGACGTGTGAAGGGACTTGGAGGAAGTGCTGACCTTTACTATGGCAGCCAGATGGGTCTACTTTCCACATCTTCCATGCAGTACACGCCCTCCCTTGTTTCTTAAATGCAGGATCAGATGGAAACCAGGATGCAGGCTCTTCGGGAAGAAATGGAACTCGAGATGCGAGCCTGAGTTCAAGCCTTAGTAAGAGCCCAAATGGAAGAAATGGAGAAGAGGTTGGAAGAGAGGATGATGAGTCGTTACCACAATGACCCTTGTTCCACCGTGCGACCTCCATTTCGATATCCCAAGGACGACGACCCGGGTAGTGGTGGAGCAGGCCAAGGCACTCCCGCAGTTGCTTAGCTTTAATTAACGTAGTGTTTATTAGTACTAATTTTGGATTACATTACTTGGTTGTACTGATTGGAATTAGTATATATATATAATTATTTTTACACAAAAACCATTAATTTTATTCTGTCGTTAATATAAGAAGCAGGAAGTACAGGTATCAAAGGGTAGCAATGTGCCGTAGGAAAATAGTCAAACTCGAAGTAGTTCCGTCGTTATTTCCGTCGCAAAGTTCCTACGGAATTAAAATCCATCGCAATGGGTATAACCTTCTGACTGAATTTTCCGTTGGTAGTTTGCGACGGAAATATGTCCGTAGGAAGGTTGTGACGGAATTTTCCGTAAGAAAGTTGCCTTCCACCTACGGAATTATCCGTCGGAAGGAGCTTAACTTCCGATGGAATATTCCGTCGGAAGGTTGGACAGTTCCGACGGAATATTCCGTCAGAAGGTTGGACGGTTCCGACGGAATATTCCGTCGGAAGCTGAGAAACTTTCCGACCGTTGGAACCTTGCGACGGACTTCCAATTTTGGTCAAACATAGGCTCCGACAATTTAAAATCCGTCGGAAATTCCGTCGACATGGTAATTTCCGTCGGAAAATCCCTCAGTATTAGCCAAAATTCCTACGAAGTGAATTCCGACAACGTGTTCCGACGAAATTCTGTCGAAAACTGCCTTTTTCGACAGATTTAGAAGGTGTTCCGACGAATATTTTCCGTCGTAAATAAGGTGTTTTCTAGTAGTGAAAAACCCAACCAAGCCACCACCAGCCCACAATCGCTAGCGGTGGCCACTCACCCAAAACCACCATCTCCGTAGCCCCAGCCCCCAAAACCTCCCCAGATTCGCCCTACCCCCGCGAAATCGGCCCACTTTGCCTTCCCCCATCCCTTGAACTAGCCATAGCCAAAACCCTTGCCTTAAAACCGCCACCCATAAAACCCAAAACCACCATAACCAAAGCCCACGACCTTGAAACCGCCACCCATAACCCCTCATACCACCTGTAACAACAACCCTGACCTTCGAAATCACTTCTCCAACCCCCAAACCACAAAAAATGCAGCCCCCTCACTTTCTTTCTCCTCCAATTTCCGGAAAACGCAAACCATGGTACGTTGAGGGGTGGCCGATTATGGGTCGTCATTGTTGGTGGTGGGTTGAGGGGGAGGCTGGGTGGCCGATTGTGGGTTTTTGGTGGTGGTTGGTTAAGGGGGTGGCTTTGTTGTGTAGGTCGCAAATGATGGTCGAATTCAGGGGTGGTGGTTTCGGGGTTTCAAGGGTGGTTAGAGTTTTGAGATTTCAAGATTGCCGGTTTTAAGTGGGTATGGGAGAAGGGAAGGGGAGGGTTGGTCAAAAAAGGGTGAAGGGGGTGGTCGAAAAGGTAAGGGGAAGGGGAGGGGAGGGGCGGTCAGGAAAGGGAGGGGAAGGGGAGGGGTGCTACGGTGGGGTGATGGTGAGGGGAGGTAGGTTGATGGGGGGCAGCTAACTGAGGGGACGGAGGTGGGCGATTCTGGTTTTGGTGAGGGTGGGCGGTGGCTAGATGGTTTTGGTGAGGATGGATGGTGGCTAGCTAGGGTAAAATGGTGGTGGTTCCATGGCAACTAATAGCCATGGATGAACAGCAAAGGGGAGGAGAGAGAAAATGGGTCTTTGGGTTTTTTTCTGTTTTTTTAGGAAAAATTGCTTTAAATAATACAACCTTTCACCCGTCCGCTAAAAACAAGTCGACTTTTTTATTATCTCTAAATAATATCACCTTTGGAGGTTGTCCGATTTAAACAAGTTGTAACCTATTGGTAACCTGATTAATGGGTTATATGGACACATGTCATCAATTTATTGGTACGAAAATATATATTTTTTTTAATTTTGTAACTTTTTACAATTATTATTATTATTTTCTTTAATCTCTCTTTTCCCACCTCACCACCATCATTCTCCATAACCACAACATCTCCCCCAATCCCCACCGCCACCCTTGAACCATACTGACCCCCACCCCAACAACCACTTCCCCACCATTGACCACCACCCCCAACACCCACAACCCCCCACAGGATTGAAACCCCACCAACCCCCCCTCCCCCAAAACCCACCATGCCGAACTGAACCCAACCCCTAAACTAATGGGTTTTTGATAGTGGTGGAGGGTGAGTAGGGTTTCTAGGCTCGTGGTGGGGTAGGTTTCAGGGCTGGATTTCGGGGAAGGGGGGGTTTTCAGGTTAGGTTTCGAGGCTGGTTTTGGGAATAAGGGGTTTCTGGGCGGTTTCGGGAAGGGTGGGGTTTTCAGGGTTGGTTTCGAGGCTAGTTTTAGGAAGTGGATTTTTAGGGCGGTTTCGAGGTTGGGTTTTGGAAAGGGGGGTTTTCAGGGTGGGTTTCAAGGAAGGGCTTTCGAAGGGGGAACGACAGGCGGTTTCAAGGCTTGGTTTTGGGTAGAGGGGCTGTCAGGGTGGGTTTCGGGGAGGGGGCGGTGAGGCTAAGGATGGGGGTGGGGTGGACAGTGGTGGTCGGAAAGGTGAGGGGGCGGTTATGGTGGTGGGGATGAGGACAGGGGCCACCGAAGTGTTACAATGGTGGTGGGGATGTGGGTTATTTAAGGGGTGGTAGGGTTGGCTGCATTGACATGGGTAAGGAGAAAGGTGAAAAAAAAGGAGGAGGGGGATGATTTTTTTTTTTTTTATTTTATTTTGTTTTTTGCTTTAATTGTTAAAAAAATCATAATTAAAGTTGTTATAAAGAGTTAATTACATTGTTAAATGAATTTATTAAACAAAAAAAAAATTTAACTGGTTAATCAGGTTGTAGGTAAAACAACTTGTTTAAAGTGGACACCCCCAGAGGTGGTATTATTTAGAGATAATCAAAAGGTCGACTTGTTTTTAGCGGACGGGTGAAATGTGGTATTATTTAAAACATTTTTTCCTTTTTTTTATTTTAATTAATTTATTTTTATTTTGGTGAACCAATTAGCATGCAACACGTGTCAAATAAATGGTTTAAATTTTTTTAACATTTTCTTCAAGTAACCGGTAATTCGGACCGAAGAAAAAGTAAAGACACCCTAAAGTTGGGATTATTGCAGAATAATCGAAAGTTGGGATTATTTAAAATAAATTGGGCAAAGTTGGGATTTGAAAAACAGTATTAATCCTATTTTTAAAGATGAAAAAAATAGAGTTTTAAGTTAAATATTTTTCAAAGGATAATGAAATATGTAGTTAGGACTACCTAAAATCATTTGATATATTTTCTTAAGAGGTAATCAAATTTTACAGGCTTTGGACTAGCATTTTAACCCGAACCTTGGCACGCGGCTTGGTCTGACCAAGCAGGTTGATTTTTTTTACCCTCAACCCAACTAGACCCGTCATTTGATCACCTCTACTTTTTATATACCTCTAGTCAACAAGCAATAAATGATTTTAATAATTTGAAATCAATCAATAGTTAAATGAACAACCAATAGAAATAAACCCCGTCAAAGTAAAAAAGTTAACCATCAGCAATCAATTGCCAAACAAGGCAAAAATTATGTGTCGATTCTTATAATTAATGTTTTTTTCACTTATTATTTCACTTTTCGCTTTTTGTATGTGGCCAATAGGGTTGTACGTATTATTTTTTTGTTTTTTGTTTAATTTTTTATTTTTTATAATTAATATAACTAAGTAATTTGGATACTATATTAGAGGTAATCAACATCGGGCAACCCGCTAGCTTAGCCCAATCTGGTCCGAAAATAGGACAGGTTTAGGCAAAGCCTAAAGATGCATTTTTAGTTAAAAACTCAAACTCGGCTCCAAAAAACCCGTTTTGGCATGGCAAGCCTGCTAATTTTTTGCTGGTTTGAGCACTAGATATGATGTTAAGGCGCGACTCTAGGGGTGTACATTCGGTTTTCGGTTTGGATATATCCAATTTGATCTGAAATAAAATTTGGTTTTCAATTTTTAAATCCAATTCAATCCGAATTCCTCACCAAATCCAATCCGATTCAATCCGAATTAAAATTCGATTATTTGAATTCGATCCAGAAATCCAAAATAAAATACGTTACAAATTTTTTAGGCTTAGTACAATTACTCCCTCTGTCTTAGAATACATGACACAGTCAACATTGCACACATGTCAATGCACTAGTTAGACTTTATTTTTATATAATTAAATATTAATGAAAATTATTTTAAAAATTATATTATGAAACTTTATATTAATACATGTAATACCCCGTATTTTAATGTATTTTATAAATTATTTAATTTATTTACAAAATATATTTTGGGTCAAATTATTTTAATTATTGGATTACAAATAAAACAAGATTTAATTTTTGGGTAAATAGATATTCTATCCGAATGTAGCCCATTTTCAGAACAAACCCAATCATCCTATTTTTGTATTTGAGTCAACTATTTCATTATTCAAGTTGTAGTTTCATGAAGCCCAAACCTACTCTAACCTACTCTACAGTATAAATACTCCATTTATCCCTAATTTTCCACACAAAAATCAAAGAGGTAAGTTTTATTTTATTTTATTTTTCTTTTTCTTTTCTTTCTTTCCTTTTTCCTCATGTTTTTTTTCTTTCTTTCTTTTTCCCCTCCTTTCTTCTTTCTTGCGTGTGACTCCAAGGAGCAGCGCCACCCTTGCTGTCCGGCCACCACTTGCCGCCGGACGACCACCACCTGCCGCCAGACTTCCAGCCAGCCGGCTAACCACCGCGTGACCCCCCTTCTATTCTCTCTCCTCTTTTATTTAAATTTTTTATTATAATTATATGTTCATGGGTTTTTGATTTTATTGTTTAAAACATGATTTCTTAGTATCAAATTGATTGTTAGTGTTGTTAAATCAAAATTTTAGATTATTATTAGTAATCTTATTTTGAGATTTTATGTTTTTATAAGTTAG